CATGTTAATATCGTGCCTAAGATCTTGCTATTAATATTATGCTTTATTGAGATAATGATTATGATGATGATTATTATTGTATCGAATTATATTATTGAACGTAATTTGTTTCACGTAATTTATTAATTAGCAAATTGTTTCACTTAATTTAATTTGTTAATTTATGAATTGTTTTTCGTAATTTGTTAATTTACGAATTATTTCATGTTATTTGTTAAAAAACGAATAATATACATATAATTTGTTGATATTATGTTTTTTGATATATTATTATTGTTATTGCTTGATCACGCCTTTTATGCATGTTTAAAGGGAATTTGTACTTGTAATCATGTTTAATAAGATAATTAATAATCTTGTTTAGGCTAATATGATTATAATTCAAGTGATCGCCAATAATAGATTTGTTTGTGCGTTAATATTCAACCAACATAGATAAACAGGTTTAGGGTTAACCTAATGATTGTATGTTACTCAGAAAGCGCACATGAATACGAGAAGAATAACGTAGAGACCTATTATCAGGGCAAGTTCATTCTCTTTTCGGTTGTTATTGTACCTTCATCCCCGAACTTCCAGTCATGGTTCCAAATCTATTGGAGTTAACGATATCCTGGATCGTTAAGGGGTGTAACCTTCACCTTGTGAACGGTTTACAAGTTCCTAAAACTTGTTGGCGACTCTTTTACTCTAGCTTCCTTCCTTTTGTACGCCACAATGCATAAGTGTATGATCACAGTGGAGCTCAAGTGTGGGATGGCTTGAAATATTCCCTACGATATCCTCACGCGGGGATAGAGGAGCATCGCTGCTATCCTCAGAGCTAGACTCTGAGGTGGAGTTCCGCCCGTCTCTTAACCGAGAGACTTCTTCATCGTCTTACCCTGAGTCAGACGCAGACCGCTCCCCGTCTCTGTCTTCGGGGCCAACCTCATCAAGTTCAATTTGGGAGACAACTTCCTCGTCGTCTCTACCCTCAGCTTCACCTTAAATTATATTACTAGGGTCCTAGAGATCCTAGATGGGGAGTACTCTCCCGAATAATCCTTTATCTCTCCCCCTCCCCCCTCAACCGGGGTCACTTCATCAGACGTCACTTCCAATGCACCGTCTCTTCTCCGCCGTCTAGTGGTTGTTTGCTTAGTTCTAACCATTGTGTCCTACAGTCACATAGACGGTCGGTTGGGGGCATGTATAAAATTACTCCATCAACCCATAGCCGGCACTCCCAGTCCTAGACTCAGCCGTACAAGGAGATCGGCTGACTACTAACCTAGGTCGTGCCGTGTGTGTTAGTGATGAATCCATTTATTAAATGAAAGAATACAAATGAAAAAGAATTTGTTGAAGGGGGTAGAGACGGTACGTTTAGAATCTGACTTTGAAAAGAGACAAGCGTTGACCGGCTGCGGTAGGCTATTTGAAGGTGATCTTGCTTGTATGTAGCACAAGCGGTTACTAAATCGGCTGGGGCAGGCGGAAAAGAAGCGAAGTTTGTGTTAAAGCACAAACTGAAGTTAGACTCTCTCTCTCTAGAACTTTTTACTTTCTCTCTCAAAAGAGCTTTGGAAACGTCCAAAATAGGAAAGGTAAAACCTGTATTTATAGAGGGGTAAATACAGGGCATTGTTGTTATTTCACTGGAAATTGAAAGGTTAAAATTTCACAGTAAAAAAAATTTGTTACTGATTGACACGTGTCATAGATGTAATGTGACGTGCCCTGTGAGGGGCAAATGTTTTGGGTAATTTTTACCCAAGCCACTCTTTCCATTCAGGGGGTGACACGTGTCAGACCTAGATTAGTCCAAATTGGACCAATCCCCGTTTGACATGTGTCATTCCCAGAATCTAGGAGAAAAGGCGGCCTTTAAGGGCCCAAATCGCGTAGCCCAACAGAATTAGGTCAGAGTGACCTAATTAGGGGCTCATTTTCCCATGACCCTATAAATAGAGAGATTCCCCCCAATTTGGGGACATCTAGAATTTATTATAGCATACCCTACATTCTCTTACATCATAGAAAACACTTGATCTCGGAATCCGAGAAGCCCCTTTTTACTTTCCGCACCTTTTCACATTTTCCAAACACGTTCTAACTTGATCGTCGGAGGCGGAGCTCCACCCAACTGGAATCTTTGTTATTTTGCATGTACAGGCATAGCCAGACAAGTCTTCGAGCCGTAACTCTCTCAGGGGACAAAAACACCCAAAACACCTACAATTTGGAGAGTTCACTTGGAGGATTCTTGGTTATCTATCGATTTGAGTGATCGGTATTTAATTATGATGAGTGGATGAAACTTGAAAGATTCTTGAATTGTATTCCTGCGATGTAATTGGCATTGTCACATATGCATATGCATTTTAGCTTACCTATTTTTCAACAATAGTACGTGTTCTACGTATATGGCTAGCCCGGTGGATTTATTCTCTATCAACCTGAAAACGTTCATGACAATAAGGGTTCATCCGAGTTTTTAAATCCACCAAAACCATGGAGTCGAGTTCGATTTCATCAAGATCTTGCAGAGCCGCCCGTTAGCATACACCCTCAAATGAGGTTGCCTTGCTAACGCGTCCAAACTCTTAACCATGATACCTTCTGACATCCAAATAAGCTTGACCATAGTGGAACATAAAAGTTGATTTTATGTTGCAAACTTTATTGCATCATGCGTGACACTGTGCTTATGTGTACATATTTTTATTAGCTTATTATTTATTTTTTTTTCCTTATTTAACCCTTCTTTTTAATTAAAATCAAGTCATAGTTCTTTTTTTTGTGGAGAATCTCTTTGGTGAACTTCAGCATTTTAATTTTCTTCGTGGTAAATGTTTAAAAATTTTACTATCAATGGGAAACCTAAATTATTGATTACCATAGATAAGTGTTATTTTAACAAAAATACTTAAATATAGTTAGGTTTTTTTTATTATTATTATTTTTATATAATAATTAAATTATATAAAAATATTTTTCAAAAAAAAAAAAAAAAAACCTAACCCCACCCCCAGCCAACCTAGCCACCAGCAGCCCCTCCCATGTCGGTGTCCATCAGCCACCTCTCCCCTGCCCCCACCAATGTCGGCGACCAGCTCCACCTTCGCCGGTGCGCGTTCCTTCAATCCCCCACATCCACTTCCTCTCTTTCTACCAATCTCGAATCCTCACCACCCCCCATTTCCCTCACCGATTACCATCCTCGACCCCACCCTAAACCACCCCAAAAATCGGCGTACCTCCTCGTCGACCCCCTTCCCTAGTTTTCCGACCCAAAAACCCTTAAATCCACCCTAAAATACCAAAAATACCCAAACCCGTTTAGTGTTTTGAAACCAAACCCAAGAAACGGGTTTTAGTGTTCTGTGGTCTGCAAGGGTTTTAGGATTTTTGTGGTCGGCTCAGAGAGGAGGGGGTTCATCGGGGAAGGGTTCTAATTTTTGTGCTGGTTTGGGGTGTGATTAGGGCTCGGCAGGTGGAGGTGGGGGAAACGGGAAAGGAAAGAGGTGCGGGGCGAGCAACAGCGGGGGAAATGGGAACAAGAGGAGGTGTTGGGCGTCGCCAGTCGGAGGTGGGGCAGGCTAGGTGGCGCCGGCCGCAGGTGGGGAGGCAAGGCGTCTTTTTTGGTTATATAAAAAAATATTTCTAAAATAATTGACAAAAATAACTAATTATGGCTAAATATCATAGTTAAAATTTATCATTATTGTTATAGTTGAATTAATGTAAAAAAATTTAGGTTTACCATTGATAATAAAATTGTAACATTTTTACCACTTAGAAAATTGAAAAGTTGGATTTCACCAAAGAGAATTTTCCTTTTTTTAGCCAACCCGGATTTTTGTCCTACTATTTTGCACAAGCATCAACTTGTTTTGGTCATAGACAAATTTTTAAAAAGATTTACGCGTCATGCCTCCTATAGATCTATAGCCTCTAGTTTTATCTTTCATCTGGCATTGGTTTCATCCCAATCAGAGTCAAAAATCAAAAGTTATTAAATTACCAAAGTGCTATAGCCTGTCCAATTTAGAAGTTCTTTTTGGCCTCCAACTTTCTTTTTATAATTTTTTTTTTCATTTTGTGTCAATCTAGTCTTAGCCAATCTTGTACTTCACTTGGCACTCTAATCCATGTCAACTTTTATAACATAGGATTGTAGTTTTTTATTTTTATTTATTTATTTATCCCCATGTGTCCCAACTCTTCCAAAATTCTAGTGGTCTTCCTATTTGTTGTGGTTATTGTTCTAACCTTTGATTTTAGTTGACCTTATTTAGGACTAACAATTGCCAGTGGACCGTTTTCACCTAGTAAATAATATAAACATTAAAACTGGAAAAAAAAAATAATCAAGTTAGTTTGTCTTTTCATATTCCATGTTATTTGGTCCATGGGTCCTTTGTTTTTTCACAACGTGCTCATGCCTAGCCATATGATTATATCACGAGTCTTAATAAACTAACCTAATCACACTTGTTGAGTCGTTTCACACACTTTGTCTTCAAGTCATGTACTATATTGTTTACGATAAAAGTTTTTACTTACTCATCAAGTAGTGAAAATGGATTTCTTAACTCATTGAATCCTGAAAAGATTACAAGACATTGAGTATTAAGAGTGTCTAAATGTTATGTGAATAGAATAAGGTTAACAATTCATGAGGCATGCAAGGAACAATAGAATGAAACTAATCAAGTAGGGTGGGATGGGGTGAGAAAGCATATAACATGTCCTTTAAGAAACTTATGTAATATAAGAGCCATGGTGGTACTTATAGATTTTTACTGGTTTTATTTTATAAAAGTATTCCACAAGGCTTTTCTTTCCTGATAGCTATAAGAGCTCAAATTGAGATTAAATTTCTCAAACTAATAGCTTCGCCAATGTGTTGAGTGTATTCATATGCAGCCATTTCCCAGTACATATTTGTGCTTATATATATCCCTTAACGATTAACCAGGCTTCACATCAAGAGATAAAGAAAGTTTAATGAGTGTAAGAAAAAAGATACCAAAGCAGTTTAGCTTATAAACCTAACTCAATGTCAGACAAAATTTCCAATAGGACTATTGCCAGCATGTAGATGAGATTTGCATGCCATTTTCACTGTAAGTAACATGTTATACTTGTAAGAATTAATTTTAAGTTAGGGAAGGGTGCAAAATTATACAAGTACCACAGGTGTCCTCATTAAATCGGAAAGGCCAAGACTAGCTCTGATTTGCTCGATCCATACTTGCTCGTTTTTCCTTCCTCCGGAGAGTCCCTTTTATTAGAGCAACTGCCTTTCCTACTTGACTTGATTTTCCATCAGCATTCGCAGCCTTTAAAAAAACACAGTTAACTTGTTTGTTTTGTGACTTTTGTCCATAAGGTCCACAAGGCCTCACGCCTTAGGCATGATGGCAGGGTTTTAAATGTCATAGTGTAAGCTACACAATTACAACACAAGCTATACCCTTACAATTGCAAAGAAGCTATTATCTTTATGATCCTTGCTTGCAAAGGTAGACATTTGATAGAGCCATTGTAATACAAAAACTGACAACTTAAACTGAAGAAAAAAAAAAAGAGAATACTAAGCTAATGGCCTTCTATGTTTCAATTTTCAAACAAACTTGACAAGCCTACACCTAAAATTTGAAGATCAATATCTGAAAGACAAATGACATAGAAGAACTATAACCACTCTTAAATGATTGACAAACAAACAAATTTAATACAAGTAATACATAATAATGTAGCTCATTAATTGAAAAATGAATCATATTATCAAATTGAGAAAGAAATTAGACCTTTGCAGTAGGGGCAACCGAATTAGTGAATCACCTGCAATACGAGCAATCTCTTGCCTACTTATTTTCAACAAGTATCTTAACAACCTCATTAATCAAGATGAATATAATCTGACATTATCATGAGCATATTTTCTGGCCTCTTCCAACTCTTTCTGTACATCCAACTTCTTTAAAATGAGAATAAAATGTTTGGATAATTAACATAAAAATTCCATTTATATAATGTTTTTTTTTTTATTTCATCATATTTTTCCAACTATGTTATCATCTTCTATTATTGCCTGCAAAAGACAACCTCGAGTTCTACCTTACTTAAAACATAAATTTATCATAAATGATTAAACCACAACTCCACCACGTAATAAGGATGCTACTAAATGCGAGGGAAAATTGTGAAGAATCAAATGACAATATATGATAATTTTACAGAAAAAATAAATAAATTATCTTAGCTTTGTTATATAAGACTTCTTAAAAGCACATTTTCTAAATTCTAGTTCAAAAAGACACTAATGAATCTACTCTTCTCGCAAAGAAAACTACTTAAGAAATAAACACATGCTAATAAAATAGTTAGGATACACTCTTAGCTTCTATTTCATTCATCCAGCCAATAGAAAAGAGGATACTAAACTGAGATTGGTGAGGTACTTATCAAGACAAAATGGTGCAATATTTTATCTTGACAATTTTTTCTTTGACTTACTATAATCGTAAAGCTTTTATCTAACAAAACTACTACTTCTACAAGCCACTAAAACAACAGTAATTCATTACTATAAAATCTGAAATGCCAACTTGTTAATACTGATGCATAGCCACAATTACATGTATACTTCTCCGTTTTATTAGTGATCTTCATGATTTTCTTAATCAATTTTTTTATGTTCAAATATGAAATGAGGTGTATTGATAAGTTTCCGAGAATTGAACTATAAGCTGATACATTTATGTATTATTACAAGATATTGATAATTACTCTTAGCAAATTTTAATAATTGCACAGCATAAACCTACCTCAAAAGGGACAAACCCAGAAAAATCAACAAAAAACACATCATAATTCATATATTCACCATCAAAAGGTGGGACAGACCTAGAAAAATCAACACAAAACACATCATAATTCATATATTCACCATCAAATTTAATCACAAAATCAATCAATTTTCAAAATCAATATAACAATTTCCCAAAATCTAACCAAAATAGTATACATCAAACCTCATCCCAGAAAAAAATACAACAAAAAAAAAACAAAATTGAGGGTGAAAACCAAACTTTTAGCAACAAATCGGTTGTTATAATATATTAATATGATAATCATTCAAAACTTCAATAATTATACCCATTACTTCAATAATTATACGCAGTTAACAGCCAAAAAAACCTAAATTAACAATAAAAATAAATGACAAAAAACCAAAAAACCCCAATCGATCAAAAATCAATAACAACAAAAACTAATTAAAAACACATGCAGTACAACCTCATTTGGGTAAACAATACACAACGAAAATCAACAAAAATAAAATGAAATCAATTACGAAGAAGAAAATGCAGTTGAATCCGAAAACACTAGAGTCAATTAGTTAAATCTACCTAAACCAAACAAAAAGAAAGAAGAATAAGAGGAAAAGACGAACCTTAATTGGGGGAATGAAAATGAAAAACTACGCCCTCTAATAGATGTTCTTTAATTGCAACAACCACCCTCCGATATCCTCCAGAAAAATGGGGCTTGCAATTCCTCTTCATCATCCGGCAATTAGGAAAATTCCGAAATGCATGACTGTATAAGCGGAGAGCGCAGGTTGCTCTATGAAAAATTGAGGAATTTCAAAGGTTTTTCAAAGGAAAGAGAAAAATTGAGGTTGTTCAGTGAAAATTTGTGGTAAGTTTGATTAGGAGGAACCGAGGAAACTAGGAGTACTTTTTTAAAAAAAAATTGTAAAAAGAATCCTATATATAAAGTGAAAGGGTATTTTGGGTGATAAATTTCACTATCCCCAAATTACCCTTCTCAAGTTGCAAAATTACCAAAATCCTATATATAAAGTGAAAGGGCCTTGTGGGTGATAAATTTCACTATCCCCAAATTACCCTTCTCAAGTTGCAAAATTACCAAAAAATAATAATAATAAAACAAAAAATCATATCATAACTACCCAATAATAACCGCTCCCTTTCTTCCACATAAATTTACATATTCAACTGTTCTCACTCCCCATAAAATATAAAACCACTTTATTATTATTTTTTTCATCTAATTTCTTATATTGTTCACGCGTAGCGTGTATCTCTTAACTTGTACAAGTAAAGTGAGTATTGTGCACTTAATTATGTAGTTATGCGGAATAACATTTGTAACTGACCTTAATAAAGTCCATTACAATTAATAAAGTCCATTACAATTAATAAAGTCAACAAAATTTGACCAATTATTTGTAACTAGCCTTTTTTATGTCCATTATTAATGATTGATCTTTCTATCTTTGAACTACTTTTTGTAAGTAACCTTGGATATGCCAGTTACTAATACTAATTTATTTGTAACCTGCACTTATAATCTCAGTTACGAAATACCCTTGTAGTAACTAATACAGCTTATGCCAGTTACAAATAGGGCGTTATAAATATAGCATTTTTTCTAGCGACCATGAAGACGTAGCACGAGGCGAGTTTCCCATACGAGATTTCATGCTTTTTTCTTTTTTTGTTCAAACCTTTTTCCCCGTATCTATGTGTCTATTTTTCATGGTTCTTATCTTTTCCATCAATATCCATTCCTTTCCTTTGCATTCGCCAAAAAAAAAAAAAAAAAAAAAAAACCTTTTGTTGAACCAAGTACAAAGTATACCAATGATTTCAGGCACCCTTTGAAACTTATTATTTTCCCTTTAACCATTCAAATACTTTTACATTTCTTCATTAACCACTTTCAGCCTCGTCTTAACGCTTGACGACGGGAAGGTGTGAAATTTGTGTGACGTTCAAAATTAAAGCAAGTTTAAAAGAGACAAAATAAATAATTAAATAAATAAATAAATAATAAAAAAAATTTCTAGGGACAAGTGTAGGGAATAATTTCAAGCATCCCACACTTGACCACTACTGTGATCATACACTTAAGTATGGTGGCGTCTAAAGGAAGGGAAGCTAGAGCAAAAGAGTCGCCAACAATATTTAGGAACTTGTAAACCATTCAAAGGGTGAAGGTTACACCCTTTTATGATCCATGAGATCGGTAACTCCATAGTGGTTTAGAACCATGACTGGATATTCGGGAATGAAGGTACAAATCCAACCTAAAAGAGATTGAACCTGACCTAAAAATAGGCCTCTAATTTATTCTTCTCATATTCATGTGCGCTTTCTGACTAACATACAATAAATATATTAATCCTAAACATGTTAAATCTATGTTGGTTGAATATTAATGCACAAACAAATCTATTATTGGCGATCACTTGAATTATAATTTTATTAACTTATATGGAGTGCCCCGTGGTTTCTTAAGTGCCAGCCGCAAACAAGATTATTAATTATCTTATTAAACGTAATTACAAATACAAATTCCTTTTAAACCTGCAAGAGAGGGGGCATGATCAAGAAATAACATAATAATATGATATCAAGCAACATGATAAATAAAAATCATCATCATAACAATATTTTCATTTAAAGCATAATAATATTAGCAAGATCCAAGGCATAATACTAACAAGATTAATAACAAATCCTAGCATGTCACTAAACAATAAAAATCAAAGCTTTAACTCTTATACGATACTAACATGACAGAAGAAAATAAGAAGTAAACTAAGCATAATACTAGAAAGCAATAAATAACATCCTTACATGATAATAGGAATTAAAATAATATAAACATGCTTTCTAAAGATATAGAGCAATTAAAACAATTTACTTTGTTAGCTCGTATCTCTTTCTATAAAAACAATACACACATTAGTAACTTCAAAGAAAATATTAAATCAAAAAATTAATTTAAATAATTGAAGTAGGGATTTGGGACCAACCTCTCAGAAATTATCAACCTTTCATGTCTAGGGAGAAGCAACTTCTATCTTGGCTAGGTGTGTCTAAGACTCGTGAACGCAGTATTTTATTTGAAAAGGGAAGGCTTAAAAAGAGGGAGAAAGAATAAGCTTTGTCGTTCACGCTGATTCACGCAATTTCTATAAACCTGTACGAAATCCTTAATCTAATTTGATTAACAATGTCCGTATTTATCTTTGAAAATCAGATTTAATCTCTTTAAAACACCTGTTTTAATCCAAATAGAATTCTTTATTTGATATAATTATCATTCCTAATCCCATTAGAACTCAATACAAACTTCTAGATTATTCTAGAAGATTAAAATAAATCCTAATAACTGTAGGAATATTAATTAATGGGCCCCCCACTAGATTATTGGGCCATTAAACCCTTTCAGGCCCAATTTAGTATTTTACCCATAACTTCCTCATTATTAATCGGAATTTGGCTTATAATATATCGTTGTAAAGCTGTGTTTCAGCCCAATCAATCTACACTTTTATTGGACCCTCATCATGGACAAAACTAAATTGAAACGGACATTTTCATAAATAGAGTTCATTTTCGAAAATAGAAAGAAGAGTTATTTTTATTAAAACTATCGCATCACGAGAATTTTCACACTTTCACTTTGTTCGATAATCAAATGACGTGAAAGGTACTTATCACTGGGTTTTGGTTTTTGGGAAGACATAAGTAGGTGTCTATAGAAGCCCCCACTTTGACTGAGTTTGTAAAAATGCATGTTTCGAAAATAAAAGTCAAAGTAGCGATTGGGAAGGAGAATGATTCAGAACGTTCTGCGATCCTAAATCATTCTTGTAACATCGATACCTGCAAACTAGCATTATTTAAACAGATAAAAGAGTTAAGAAACGTGTATCTTGCACCGTCGAGCACACATCTCCGGGGTAACCGATTTCATTGCTACGTGATGTTGTGGCTACCTTCCAAAAGCTAGGAGACATCACCTGAAGACAGCTATGCTTGTAGCTGCCTTCTATTTGTGTTGTGACAGTCTTCCATATCTTAGGGAATACTACGAAGATTGCTCTGATTAAAGCACTCTTCTACCGTTTTGTGACCATCTTCCGCAAGCCAGGGAACACGATCGAAGCCAACTTTGCTTGTAGTTATCCTCAGTTTTTTGAGAATTTCTCAAATTTTAGGTGAAACTTTTGAAGATAGCTCTGCTTATAGCCATCGTCGTCGAAGGTGACTCTGCTTGTAGTCATTTTTAGTTGTTTGTGATAACCCTCCCCATGCTAGGAAACATTGTCGAAGACCATTATGCTAGTAACGATCCTTAGTTTTGCTTGATAACTTTCTTAAGAAAGTTATCGAAGATCACTGGTTGTTGATCCTCAGTTTCCCGGTGCTTTAAAGGAATGCTTGTTGCGCCATTGCATGTAATTTTCTTGTACGTTTGCTATTGATGCTCACTCGTCTCTTACTAATAGAGATTCGAATGATATGGCCACGCGTCTCTAAATAAAAGAGCTTGATGAGGGATGTTCACTCGTCTCGGAACAAAGGAGCTTGATGAGGGAGATGTCCGCGCGTCTCTGAACAATAGAGCTTTGAATGCTATGCCCATGCGTCTCTAAGAAAAAGATCTTTGAATCCTATGCCCACACTTCTTAGAGAAAAAGAGCTTTGAATGCTTGAATGTATGTTGAGATTGTTCGGTTGGCTGCAAATAGGAGCCTTATTGAATGGTTGTATGTTGTAAAATCAAAAGATTGCCAAAAGACTTTGCTGGTATGTTTCTTAAGGTGACCTAAGGCTTGATGTTTGTCTTAGGGTTGACCTAAGAATTGATGTGCTTGACATTGTACTTGCCTTGACTTGAGGTTGACTTAATGTGATTGACTTGGCTTAACTTGAGGTTGAATTAGTGTGTTTTGACACGTGTGTGTAGACTCAACTCGATGTGATATGACACGACATGACTTAACGTACGTTGACTCGTGTGTGCATTTTGTGACGTGCTTATGAGACTCTAAATGCTAAAAAACAAAAAAAATTCTGTCATTTTTGTTGAGGGTATGACTTTCTCCCGGAAAAGAAAGACGCGAAAAGGAATCAAAGCAAGTGTTTGCAGTGCATGTTGAATGAGCTTAGTCAAATGTATGCATCGAAGTTGTATCTCTTAGTGTAAGGATTAATTCATCCTAGGATATATCAATTGTTTACTCGATGTTGAAAGTATTTGTTTAACTTTGGCGCGGAGGCTAAGCATTTCATACTTTGTGATGCAATGATGTTTATGAGTGATTTTGATATGACAAGGCATGCTTCAACGTTGTGTTAATATTTCATGACAAAGGGTTCCTAAGAGAAGGGATATTTGGTTTTGTATCCGTGTAGTGTGTGAAAGTGACACTATGGTTAGGCCACAAAGGCTAACGATGTGAAAATATAATAAAAGAGTCAAATAGCGGTGACTCTTAGGCTAGGTAAGCTAATGATGTAGGGACCAAGCCCCAAGTCTAGCTCTAAATTGATAGGGATGAACATCGGAGATCCCTTGATATGATCATGTATGAATGTGAATGTAAATGAATGCATTTTTATTACGGTCGCACCCCAATGTGAGGTTGCCTACGTATCCGTTAGGAATCAGGCCGAACGTAGCTCTAGCCGAACCTCGCACAAGTGTGTGTATAACTGAAAGAGATCTTTGAAGGGTTGTATCGTGGTTAGGCTAAAGGTTGAAGAAGAAGGGGATAAAGGCTCGAGACCCTAGGTAAGCCCCAAAGGTGTGCAACCTTGCTTTTGAATCTTTATATTTGTATGCTTGAGGTTTCTCACTTTTGAACTCTCTTTTGTTTATATTTTTGCTCTTTTATTTTTTTTGCTTCATCATTTTTTATTTTGATAAGTGTGGGAAATCCCAATCATGCGGTCTATCACTCACTTGGCATTCATGTTTCTCAGGCACGGTACCGAGCACTCGATAAGAGACGTAATCTGAGACGTGTTCTTATCAAAGATATATTCATATCAATGACATTGGAACATTTGCCCTTTTGCACACTTTTATTATTTTTTTCCTTTTTTGAATTTTTATGATCTAGGTAAAATTACTCAAGGTTTTGTATTTGGAATTTGCATAAGTTTCATACTATCCCATCCCAAGGTTAGGTAGATGTGGGTTGAAAAAAGAAAGGTTTATCGTTA